TCTGAGCAATTTTTAAGGTTGCTTTTACCACGAATTGCCTGTCCTAGTAGGCAATCTCTACATTAAGATAGTTTTGGTAGTACTACTCACCGGCTTGCAGCTTCAACTAAAGCTTTCTCATCTGGTGAAGAAGCATAATACTCCAACGGGGATGCTATGCCATTGGCATGCCAGGGACCATCAGCACCATCTGTTTGATCTGCATTGATCTGCACTGTATGACAAAGACAAACTGCTTTCAAGAAGAGTTCTTCCTCTTTCATCTATAAGAAAGAAAAAACTTCATTTGTAACACTTACATATCAACAGAGTTTTGAACATACTTAATAAAAAAAAAGTTTTTACTTAAAAATCTGCCAAGTATTCCATGTTAAATAATCACATCTCAACATGTTTAATAAATATTATCTGTTCAGTAACATTTAATAGCTTCAAACTATTCAGAAATTCTGATTTTTTTTTTTTTTTAAAAAATGCTAATGCCAGAAGAGTATTTCTCTGAAATAAAACACTTTCTATCTAGGATGCCTAATGGGGGGGAAAAAAAAATCTTACCAAACTATGCCTATTTCCATCCGGAGAATCTTCAGAAAACCCCTCTGGAGTTAGTTTACCATTGATCTCTTGGTACTTTATGCCATTAATGGAGCACTCTCGAAACTGCATCTCATTTTCAGTTAATGTACCGGTTTTGTCTGTAAACACATACTCCACCTTTTGTAAAACAAAACAAAAACCAGACTTCGAGTTGCATGTATTTGTTAGAAGACAAAAAATAAAATAATCTCAACTCACACTCTCCACACCTTTTTTTGATCATGTAAAAATTTTAATTTCTGCCATCAGATATTTATACCTTACTTTTAAATTAACCAGAAATCAAAGCGCAACCAATAAAAAGTCTGCAGTAATGAATTTTAATATTAAAAAAGAAGTAGAAAATAGAAGGTTAAAAAAAAAAAAGAAGAAAACTTGTTTTTACTCTACCTGTCCCAATTCCTCATTGAGATCTGAAGTATTTACTTGTGCTCTCTGGTTCGTTTCTTCGTGATAGAGGTCAAGATCCCAGCCAATAAAAAATGATCCAAGAAATTTCTGCATCTCAACAGTCACATAAAGTGAAATAGGTATGATAAAATTGTAAAGTACCAGAAAAGCAAGAAAATCTGAAATAAACCTCAGAATCTACAAGAGAAAAAGAGAAAATATAAAGATTACTGCAGTGATCAGGTGAAACATAGCTACTTAGTTATGTTTCAATATGCATGAAAAATGACCAATTGACAGAGCTGGAGGAGACCAAGTCCCGAGTACCCACGAGAGAGAACACACACAGTGACAATGCAGGCATTTCCAGGTTTCCCCAGTAACGTGCCTTCAGACTGATGCAAAAAGACTGCCTTAAGCTATGACTGGATGTTTCAATTCTCAAGTTCAGTAATTTTTGTCCTTTCTACTGAATCTGTCAGGAGGGCTGCCAATTAATATTAACTGTCATGGTGATTCTGTTTTCAAATAGGTCTCTTGAAAGAGTTGGGTCTGAAAAAAACTAATATGTTCCCCATTCCATGAAACAGCACCATTCACAGGCTTTTCTAAGGAACCATAAACAGTGAAGGCAAACAACCGATATTCCATGTTGTCAGAGGAATCTGCAAATATTCTGTATTGGTTTAGAAGAGCAGTGCAACAGGAGGGTTCCTGTCTATTGGCATTCCCCAGTGACATGGGTGATGCAGACCATGTGGATTTCAATGGCACAGACTTCTTTTATGCCTCTTCAAATCGTTGTGTTCGACACATACATTTCAGGTAAACAGCTACGTAATAGGATAGAAATTTCTCTTTATTAGGTACGACAATTTTAACAAACTCTGAAATGCAATATTACAGTCTCTTTGAAGTCTCTTTTTCATTTGCACAACCAACTCAGTATCTAAATTGTACTTTGGGAAGACTCTTATCAACACTTGAATATTGAGCAAGGGAGATTAGAGATGAAAACTGGGATGTCTCTTTCAACTCTACCAGATGTTGGTGTAGGAGAACATTCTGAAGAAAGGGAGTGTAAAAATACCTAACAGTTTGCAAAGCTAAATAATGTCTGTTCTTCTAATTAGGGAGTGTTGCTATACCTACTTAATTAAGTCAGTACCAATAATTAAGGTGTCTGACAAAAACTCAGGAAGTTCTGTGCCTTAAGAGATCTTCCAAACTAAACCAGAAAAGATAAAGACTGAGAGCAGTAATTCATGTAAGAGAAGATACACTGAGAAGAAGTGACAATTACTAAGGTTAGTGAGTTTCTTCAAGCACTGTCTATTAAATAATAATCTGCACAACACAGGGCAGATGAACAGAAAAGCACTCCAAGCAAGGATGTCAGTGTATCGAGAAATGCAAAGCAGATTGTGGAAGTAAACAAGGAAGAGAGAAAAACAAAGACATGATAAAAGGAGAGTGACGTTGCAGAAACACAAATGGCTCCGAATGCTCCTGAAAGTAAACGAATGGAAAGATTGAGTAAATACTTACCTCGATTCTATTCAGAACTGAAAAGGTTCCACAGGCTAGTCTAACTTACATAGCAATTACTTCAAATCAAGGGGAGCCAAGAATTTACTTGACTGACCACTTCAAACAGTTGAAAGTGCATTAAGTGGGTGCAGCTACTAAAAATAAAAGTCACTAAACAATTTGAAAACTTCTAAATTCATTTAGGACTTTTCAACAGTGACACTTTTAGATAAGATTATTTTAGAATACATTGAAAAGTTTCTGATAACTGTAGTGAAAACCTGAATTAATAATTTTAAATAAAACACAGCATTGAGATAAAGATATTTTTCCAGTTAAACTACAGAAACACTTCGCATGACAAGCTTCTGAGAAAGTTGCATGTTCTACTGAAATGCCAGTAAACTCTTAACTCTCCTTGAATCAGACATTCTCGAATTACTTCTTTTTCCTTCTTGAACCACTGTGTACTAACTGTAAATTTCACTCTACTTATGAAGAAGAGCAGAAGTCTCCTGACTTGGGATTTGGACCTTTTTGCACACATGGCACCTAGTGATCACATTCAATTCTCAACACTCTGGGGGATGGGGGGGGCGTGGGTGTTAAACATCTGACACCACATCACATGTGGAAACTGGATTTCCAATTCTTCTGTGCTTTGAAAATCTCCTCTACTTCTTAGAATAAGCTCCAGCCAGCTCCTGAACTGCTTTGGAAGAAGGCAGACTCGTACAGAAATGAAAAATTAAAGAGAACACAGAAAAGTACAGAATGATTAAAAAAAAGATACTTCTCAGAACTGCAGACTTAAGGAACAGTTCAAAGTAGCCCTCCAATCTCTACAGAAAAGTAAGAAGGCAAGCAGGAGCTTGAGCAAAATTACAGCATTACAAAATTGTCTGAACAATCTCAACATCCCAGAATGTCCAAAATGCCTGAACTGTGAAATCACTGCAATGGAACGTGCACAAGAACAGCCATCCTCCTCCTCTTCTCATTCAAGGAATGACAAAAGACACCCGAAAGAACAATAACTATAGTAAGAACACAGTACATCAGAAATATGTCCTAACAAAACTCAAAACTTTCAAAAAGCTTAGTCTTTTCATAAACAAAGAAAGAGTCCAACCAGTAACAAAGGTAAGAAATTTCTACACAAGGGTGAGGCTATATAGGACTAACTCTCTAAAAAATACTGAGACAGCAGCACACAGACTTGCAAGTGGATCATGTGGCAGTTACACCTTTATCCAAGAATAGAGACATAATAAATATCATATTCAGTATATAGTGGTTGAGGGTTCCTCAGGTATGCAACTGGGTGGAACTACATTACCTTACTGCTGTTTCTTTCGTGCTCTGTTTTTTCATTATACCAAGGCTCATCCCATTTTTCTTCAGCTTGCCATGCATACTTTAAAATAGTGCTCAGAATGGCTTCAAAGAGGAGGATTATTAGATAAATAATCAAAAAGGAATTCATGGACCTACAATGAGGGGGGGGAAAAAAAAAGCAACTTCAGTTTATTTTACTTAATCTGTTGACTCACTGTGGTTACATGAATTGATCAAAAACTTATGGGACAATTTTTTTTTAAAATGTATCCTGTGTTTGATATGGATATAAAGTTTCTATGTGACAAGCAAGCAACAGAAGTGAGAAGAAATCCTACATCTGACTAAGGTATACTCTACATATAGGAATATCAAGACTAGATTAAGGTGCAAGAATACCCCAAGAGCTGACTCGTGTCACACCTGTTGTCCAAGATTTTGGGGCTGACTTATCCTTCTCTTCTTCCCCGAGTATCTAGCAAGGCTGTGAAGGTGGTACAAACAACCACTGTGGAAATCCAAGGCTGCACCTTTTTCTTCAGTTAGAAGAGCACTACCATATGCATCTGGTTATTTAAGCCAGGCCATGCTATACCAGGATAATAGTCAAACTTGCCTCTATATTCTGTAATGCTGGCCAGACCATCTTTCCACCCCTTGCTTTGATGACTCAACTTTTCTTGTGCACTCTACAGTTCTGTGTGTATCTGGCCATAGAAAAATAACCAATCCCATGTTTGACAAAAGAATGCTGGGAGGCTATCTCAGATTTTTAGTAACTGGAATAAAGGCAACCTATCAGAACTCCTTTTCCTTTTAAAATAATTCACGAGGTTCAATATATAATATTATATTGTAATATTATATGTTAGGTGCTATTATAGCATTAGGTGCTATTATAGTAACACCTATCCCGTAACTACGAGCAAAGATTTTTAAAACTGAGCCTGCAACTTGTGCTAGAAGCAAGATTCATTGCAAAACATATCTGGATAGGCTATCTCCTTTAGACTATGTGAAACAAAGCTATTTTCCATTATATCAAATACTACGATTCAGGACAAAGATTTGTAAGCGATTAAGACTTCATTTTCAATCCATCCGCTTCAAAGGCATGATGCAGTTTTACAGTAAAGGATGCAGAGAACAGCAGAGGCTGGGACTGTTGTGAAAATTAGCTCTGAGCATCTGGTTCAAGCAGCATTTCACCTATCATTAAATGATCTCCACATCTTAAAAACAAACCTCCTGAACTAACTTTTTCTGCTTTAGTCCTTTTTAAGCTCGGGTATTTCAACTTTGTACACTACTGAAAGAATCAATAAAGGATGAAATATCAAGAAACGGATTTCATCTTTATAGCTTCCTACTGAAGGCAAAGCAATTACACTCTCTTCCCTTGCCTACAACCCAATGACGAGATCATCAGGGTTTTAAAGATACCAAGGAAAAACTAAGTTAAAACTCTACAAATAAGAAAGATATTAGAAAATAAACATACTTTTCTACTGCTGACCGTTTCTGAGATTTACTCTTGTAATTTAATGCCATCTTTGTCTCCATACCTGTATACACTGCAACACCTGGGAAGGAAGGGGGGGGAAAACAGAGAGTTATACTTTATTTTCTGCATATATAAAATTTGCAGAATTTTTCATTTTAAGAGACATAGGATAAAACCAAGAGGTGATATTACTTTTCTGTTTACTTCAGTACAATGGTGACAGTATTTTGTAAGTACTTGCAATATTCTGCTATAGTAAAACAGTACTACTGAAGTAATTTTAACACCTACTAAAATGCTGTTAATTATTATGACTGTACTGCTCTTCAATACATATTTTATGGAAATCAGAATGGTAAATCTCAGGAGAAAGTCTTGAACAATGGGTAACAGTAACAACAGTCATTTATCCATTGAAGCTAAGTTATTCCTTTATCAAACCACTTCAAGTACTTCCACAGAGCAGAACTGGAACTTTATATCCTTAGAGATTCTTCAGCATAATATCATTACTTTCATCTATAATCATACCCCCTCAGGTAACAGTCAGCAAGATTTATTACAATTTCTTCAGTGCAAGTAAAATTAAACCACAGTTCATCAACACGTTTTAAGAAGAGAATACTCTTTAAATATTTAGGTGTCTACAAACCAAATATTTCTTTAGTGTTTTTTAATCTTGCTCCACGAAGTAAGAGACTTTCAGGCCCAAGAGGTCTAAAAAGAAATAAAGGTATCAGGATTTAAAAATTAGTTGTTCTGTATTCTATAGGACTTGTGAAATCCAGTTTCCTATGCAAAGCTGTCCTACATCCCCCATGAATTCCCACCGCAACAACTCCAACCCCATCCTCATTTAGGTCCATCTTCAATCCTCTTACCCCCTTTACCACATCTCACCCACACATCTCCATAGAACTCTCAGTTTCCTTTCATGTCTCCTTTGTTCACTGCCATACTCTCCCACCACTGTTCAATATCCCATAATTAGTGATTGAGCTAAATATACCAAATGGCTGGTTCAGAGAGACGTGCAAATCACTTGAGAAGCCAGCAGGCAAAAAACCTGTCGAGCTCACAGTGCAACAGAAGTGCTACTTTAGGTTTGGCTATTTTACTTATCTTACTTCTACCCCTCTGTCAAACTGAAATGATCTAGCAATTTCAAAAGCTATTCATACCAAAGAAACAAAGACAAACAACTAGATGGACACTACACCACCACAACAGTGCAAGTTCTGCTTCCTAACACAAGAGTAAAATTTTCGTAAGTGTTTTTTCCTCACATCTATCACACCACAATAATACATTAATTTCATTAGCTAAGTTAACTGTAAACAGCACTGTGAAAATCAAGGTCCAGTTAGAATCAAGGTTCATATAAGGTTAGAGCCATATGTTCTACTCCAGCGGCTCTATCAACTTTAGAAACTGCCAGCAGGGTTGGTTTGAAATAAATAAAAAAAAGGTGCATTCACTATTTTTGCCAGTGGTTCAAATGAAAGCAGAAATTGAACAACTGCAGTGGCCAGGTTGACATACTGGGTATACGCAAAAGAATTAAAAATCATACACTAAGTGATACAGCACACAAGCCCTTGGGTTTGTGTTACTTTTCCATTAGCTGTACCACAAGCAGTCCATGATCACTATCATATAAACAAAGCTCTTATACTTGAAGTTCCTTTGAAAGCATAACCCGGAATAACTCAAAAAAAGCCCCCAAACCCACTCCCCACCTCCCACAGTTAAACATTTAACTTAAATGTTACTGCAAATGTGACAGTTACCATCATAAATACCATGTGAACCAATTATACACATGGATTATGACAGGTTCTTTAAATCACACATACATATGTTAATATATTAGGCTAGACTCAAACTTTAACTAAAAATTGAACTAAAAGGGACTAAATGCTCAAGCATTTAACATTTTCTTAGAAGAAACCTAACGTGTATTTCTGGATTCAAGTGTTTTTTGCAGTTTGTAAAACAGTCTGACAAACGCAAAATACAAAACCTGAATCAGTGCAACACAGACTAGACAAGTTTATCTTTGACAGTCAGAAGATACAGCTCCACCAGCAGTCAGAACTTGCAATTATTTTTTCACACTCCCTTTAAACTGGCTCTGTTAAATGTTGTCAACTAAATTATTTTGATAGGTTATCCCAAAGCTGAACCTGTCAAACTTGGTAGTAATGAATTCTGAAAAGCTCTACGTGAAGGAGCACATAAAGTGACCTTAGAAAACAGCTGAGTGGGTTTGCGGGGGCGGGAGGGTTGGGGGGGTGTTTGTGGGGGTGGCTAAAGCATTGGATTTGGGGCTAAGTGATCTGCCTTCTACATTGCTGTATTTCTTGCAAAACCATTGACAAATCATTGATTCCCTCTGAACTCCACGTTACTCCTATCTAAAACTGACAGATGTTTGCCAGCCTCATAGGAGGCTCTCAGATTGAAAGACTTTCAGTTCTTCAGACTGAAGGCACACATTACATGGAAAAGAATACTGCTTTAATATTTGATTCAGGTAGAAATTTCTCTTAAAAAAAAAACCAAACGTGTAAAGGACAACATTTTGGACATTAGAAGAGTGAAAGAATCATAACAGATTTACCTGTTTCTGTGACACATTTTTACATCATAACACAGCACTTCACATCTTGAGAAGTGGTGACCAAGTTTTTTGAAAGCTTGATTATCAACAACTCTCAAGAGAAAGCAATTAAATAACTTGCACACTAAATATTCCTGAAAATCTGGCCATTTCTTGTGATTGATTTCCCTGTCTTTATTTCAAACCATGACCTTTCTCACTCCTGTTCTTCCTATTTTCTCTCCTGTCTTGTTGAGGGGGGAGAAGTGAATGAGTGGCTGTGTGGATGTTTGGCTGCTAGCTGGGGCCAACCCACCGCAATCAGCAATCTTTTGAGGAAGTCTACATATAAGTCTGCAAGTGGCTTCACATCTTTATTTTTATATTTTCACATGTGTTTAGGTGTATGCTACTTGCTATCACCGCACAGTGAAAAGTTGTGAGCACGTGATTATGCGCACACAGCTTTATGTGCACACAATTATGTGTTGACTATTACAGATGTAAGCACTTATCTTTACAGTCCAGGTAGTACAGCAGTTTGAAAAGCTACAAATTTGTAGCAGAGGCTTTGTTAAAATAGACCAATAATTTCTAGGAATTTCAACTGCAAAACCACTTGCTCAGTGCCTCTGATAAACGGATGACAAGGGATCTGCTGGAGTCTACATAATATGCCACTGGAAAATGTTTAAGATCAATAAATGTTTTAAATAACAAAGAGCAACAAAGTTACCAGCTGATTACCAGTGCCTAAAAATTACCCCCTTCAGAACAGCCAAGCTTTCCAGAACTGTCCTGTTAAATCTGAAAAACTGGGTAGTAATGAACTTCCTTTCACTAATTTTTTCTCATCTCCATGTGAAGTATGTACTTACAATACTTCCAGTAAAAATACGCCTTTTCGTATATTCAACAGTAACTCTTTCTTGTGATAGTCATGATTTTAACCACCTCCATCAGTTCTAAACATTAATCTTATAAACTTTTACTTACCGTACGATTTCTTCAGTTTGTTGACTTATAGTTATTCTTCCAACAAATCTATGAAAGATAGCCACGTGTTAGGCATATCTACATAAAGACTCAAAAATGTAAAAAACTCCTCTATATTTACAAAAAAGTAATTAATGGTTCACAAGTACAAAATAATCAACTTTTATTAACAATCAAACTACAACAATATGGCAACACTGGCAATAATTTTACAAGAGATATTTAACAACAGAAACATTTATCCTTCAAAAGAAGAGTCATCTGAGAAAGCCTGTTAGGTTTCATTAATAAAACCACAAAAGATTATATTTCTCACTCAGTTAAAACAGGTTCTGACTTCTTTATGTGTCAGTAAGAATTAATTCCTCAACAAATATAAGTTAGCATATTATCCATCAGAAGTAGTAATTTTTCATTTAATGCAGCCAATCTACTCTGCTTTTAAAATCTAACACTTGCATATTTAGCATGACCCCAGTTACAAATAGGGACATAAAATTCTATAATAATTGTACCTTAACTTGATGTTCTCTACAAACTGATCAAATATTTGAACAGCTGTTCAAACTAAGTATCTTAGGTTTTAAGAATTTAGTATTTCTCAAAGATCCCAAAGCTTAAGAATAGCTGCTGTGATATACTTGGATTTTGAAAACTACTACTTGATAGCTACCATTTTCCATTATACAATTCAGGAGAAACTTGGATGGGAATATAACTTTTGTTACCTATGATGCCATTTTACAGAGTCTAGGGCCTTGCTTGCTGATGTTAAAAGCTGAAATGAAGCACTCAGATACAACTGTTTTTAATCTAAATTTTAATAAATGTGACCAACACATATCCTTAGAATTAACATAAGCTTACAAAAATTTGCTACAGTTTGAGTTAATTCCATTAAAATTATTATACTACGTAGTACTGAAATCTCCTGGCAGAGCCTTATACAACTCCTTCTCCAACCTCCTCAGACTCATAGGCCTTTTAATTTTTTAAAATCCGGAAACAAGTTTACTGGTTAGAACAGAAACGAACGTAAGTGTCATGATTAAAATACAAAAGGTAAATATTATCCTATAATTTCTGATTTACTATTGAAATACTCAAATTTGACTTGTCACTTGCAACTTTCAGTAAGTACCTATGTATAAACACTTATGCTAACTATTAAAACCTAAAATTTAAGCAGATGTCTGAAGCTATTTTAATCCTAGCAAGACCCATAACATTCCTAATATTAAACACTTCATTGTGATTTAATTTCAAAATATTTACTAATAAAGTGATACCTGTATAGATCTGCTTCCGGCTGCTGACATTCTATAACAGCTACAAGTTTGTCCAGGTTGGCAACGGACTGTAACACTGCTGTTTCTGGGACTGCAACATGTGTCTGTAAAACAGTGTCCATTAAGTTAATGATACAGGACTACCGGGCAGGGGGGTTATTCCAACGGCCTGAAATAAATATAGCATCACAAATTAACTACACTCTATTTCATAGCACCAACCCTCACCTTAAGATTGGTCTCTCCATCCAAACTTGCAGTAGTAACATGGCATGAACCATCGACTCGATCAGATGACAGAAGCACCAGATCAACAGGAAAAGTCTCATCTTTGGCTACTCTGACAATGTCCCCCACCTAATGAAGTGAACACAAATGACAAGTGTACAAATAGAGTTTTAAAAGAGAAGAATTAATTTCAGCATTGTTACCGAATCATGATGAAACAGGCCACAATGATTAGTAACGAAACAAGAGCTTTAGCTATGCAATAGAAACACAATTTTCAATTTGTCCTTAGGCACATACCCGAATGTTTTTAGATCTAGTTTTTACAAGGCCACCACTTCGAACAACATAAACCGGAGCACCGTTTACTTCATTGTCTGCTTTATGTCGTAGCCAGTCTTCGTAACCCTGTGGAAAACACATACAAATTTACTTTTTTAAGCAAGAAACAAACCTATAAGCATAACAAATATCTTCTAAGCAAATGTCCTTCAAATTACTTGCTGCGTAGCCTGAATATAGTTACAAATTTCTCTTGAGTTTCTACTGCAGCCGTTACTCAAGAACCTGGGAAATCTCTTAAATTTTACTCACTTTACACAAATAAGTAAAGGCAAATAAAGTAGCAAAAGTGGTGAAGAAACTTAACAGTCCCATGTTGTGTTAAAACAAACAGGCAGTGACATTTTCTGCAAACGAGATGAACAAGCACTCATTCAGTCTTTTATCTATATGGATTGATATACCACAAAACTGGGAAGAGTCACTCCCAGTCTCTCTTATGGAGTTGTTTTGGGGGTTGGTTGGTTTGTTTGTTGTTGTTGTTTGTTGTTTGTTTTTTTTTTTTTTTAAGAGAAGTAACAGACTGAAATTCCTTCCTCATGTCATTCCATATAGCACTTCTTACAGTTCCTGCCACAGCCTATGCATGAAACCTTAAGATTTCTTAATTTTGTATGACATGCTGTTTACACATCAGCTCTGTATAGCAAGAAAAGATGACTGAGAAAGTTTTAGTTTTTTGTGAGTCCTAATGCAACAGTTCGCAGCAACTGAGTTTAACAGATAAATTAAGCAGTCTTCCTTCACCTGATATTGAGCACCTCTTTAAGCACCCTTTACCGCATGCACACACGTGTGCAAATATTCATGAGAATGAATCCAGGTATATTATTCCCCTCCTACTTTCCTAAGCTATTAATGCATTGCTTATTTAATCTAATAGCATGGTTGTCAATAGCATGATTTCTGATCCCCAGTCTAGGTACTATCTGGAAAGCCCCATAAGCAAGCACAAGAAATGGATCAGTCTATGCAGAAGTTCAACTGCCTCTTACATCCCGGCAAGACTTCTACAACTGATTTGCAATAAGAGACCTTTCCTAAAACGCTTTTCTGTAGGTATAAAAAATGTGAAAGAGTTAAAACCACTTCCTTGGAAGTTTGCAGACAGAAGAAGAGGGCCCCTCTGAAACGGCAGGCATAATCCCAACTCATCCTAGAACACTACAAACATCATATATGAATGTCGTAATACAAAGAGTACTAATGCATATGCAGTTTGAAGAATTCTGCAGTTGACTGGAGTTTGGAGAAAAGTTATATGATGAATTTAGCATGTTAAGAGTATAGTTTTGCAGTTCTACCCTCATGCTCCTCCACTGTTACTAGCACAAATGAGTAAGGACAGCACAGCCGCACTACCTAGGTTTTTTTTTTAAGAAAGAAAGAAAGAAAGAAAGAAAGAAAGAAAGAAAGAAAGAAAGAAAGGAGGGAAGCTTTATACACCAACTGCTTAAAAATAAATAATTAGTAAGTGTGTAGTAATAGCAGCCACACAGAGAGATACTGGGAAATCAGAATCCTAAAACCCCATAAACTCTTCAAGAGCCCTTCCTAATCAGTATGAAAAAGCATCAAGAGTCAGTACCTACAGCTCCTTGTTAAAGGTGACTGACAGAAGAAAACAAGGATTTAACTAACATCCAGTAACCTTGGGGCATTTGTCTCATAAACCTGAACAGCTGAGCAATATGGGCATTTGGCAAAGAACTGAAATTTACCTTCTTTAGAAAGTACAGATTTCAACGCTTTCTCCATCTGACACCTATTGCCTACAACACCAGGGAATTCTTAAGAGCCAACTTACTGCGGTCGGTTTAAATTCCCCCAAAATTTACCTACTGCGGCATTTTTGAGAGAGTTCCTTATCCTCACTTGCAAATATTGCAAAAATACTGTTAAAAACAAAGATGCAATAGGAATACAGGGAATTATGCTTAACTGCATGAACAGAAACTAAAGATTAAAATCCCTCAATTAAATTATATTCTTAAGTCCTGCTTAAATAACTGCATCAATGTACTCGAGAAAAGGACAAAATTAAAACAGGCCTGCATGTTATATTACCAGGTTTTTCATTCTCGGTTTAGGTCTGTACTTAATCAAAACCTGCAAAGTAATTGTTTCTAATTTACCTGACAGTCATGTAAACATCTGTGTCCAATCAGCTTGTTTGCTAAATAACTATGAACCTATTGAAATGGACTAAGTTCCCTAAAGTTTCTCAGGAAATACCTTTATATTGCAGTATTTTGTTTTGTTTTGTTTTTTTTAACTTTAATTTTTGTTCATTAATTTTATTCATTTTATTTTCTGATTTTGGATTCCTCTGAGGACAGCATATGCATCTTCATAGGCATAAGGAGGAAAGCGCTCTGGCTAACAAGATAGACAAAATGACACAGCGTGAGTTGCATCACTTTGCAGTTTTGTATGTCCTTCTTCTGACCTAGGTGCAATTACACTTCTAAGAAGAAAAAGTTCTATCTCCTTGGCTGAGATTAAAATAAGGCTGAGTTTTGAGGTTTGTTAGAGGTGCCACGTTAACGGGCCTTCTGGAAGCAGGGGAGAGTTTTTCCACCCACTGCTAGGCTTCCCCAAACCACATTTGGTTAATGCTTCTATTTTTCCCCTTCATCTTTTGAGAGACTACTACATTATAGTTTAACATTTAACCTGATGTAACTTTGTATAGAACCAGTGCCCCACAACTTTCAAAAGGGGCTTCTTCCCCTAAAATCTCTTCCTATTCCACTTCTGGTTTGAGAGAAAATGGAGCTGGTTTTGAGACCATACTGGGTATTTTCCCCTCTGCATTCCAACAGATTTATCTTTCTTCCTTGTCCAAGGGCAGCCTGTTGGAAATAGCACACTGAACTGTCTTTCCAAGGTAACAGTTTGTGAATATTGTTTGCCTACTTTGCAGCAGGTAGGATAAACACAAGAGTCCATTAGATCAGTTTAGGTGGTTCCAACAGTCCTTGCAGAGATCTTGAGACAATCAGAAAAACTCTTGATGCTTGGCAAGTCATGAATGATTTAAAACTTCTAGAAGGAATGCCAGAATCTCTATTCTTTGCAATTGATGGTAAGATACTTAAATTTCCCAATATAAGATTGGACATCTGGAAACAAGGTGGTAATAGATTATTTTGGACTATTTTAGACTTATACAAGTTCAACTTCTTTCTGGGGGGAAAAAAAAAAATCTAATATTTATAACTAAATTGCACAATCTCTTTCAGTTCACACAGCTTTAAGGGATATTTTCCATTGCCTACTTATGACTATAGATCTTGAACATGTGATTTTTTGGGGGTGATTATAACCACTGCAATTGAATAGGATTAGGGCACTCTACATGTATGAATTGTACAGCAACAAGATGAAATGTTAGTTCAAATATTACTCCACCATTAAGATCCCCTCTGCCCAAACGCCATTCTATCCGCTTGAAAGCTAGAGCTATTTTTACTTTTGCTCTATTTCAGGGTGGCTTTGGGTCTTAGTGGCACAGAAGGCAAATTGAAATTCCAGTTGTAGCTCCATAACAGTCTCCTGCTTACTTTTCAGTTGCTATGACTGCATCTCTTTCCCAGACAGCACTGTCAAACGCTTTGAAGGGGATAGTTCCCGAAAATTACCTCCCTGTAGAAGAGATTATCGTTTTATCCACATCACCTCTTTATTTATGTGCTTGTTTCTTTCTCCTTTTGCTTTAAGGGTTTAAAGAAAACAGAAGTTTTTTTTCTTTCTTCTCCCCCCCACCCCCTCCCCCCTTTTTTTTTTTTTTTTTTAACATTCTCCTTCCAGGGGCTCTAGGTCTTAGTAGGATGTAATATGATGCTTGAACAAGATTTCTATTAAACTCATACTTAAAAGATTTTTCATATTTCAAGTGCTCCAAAATGTTTTATGCAACCAAAGATAAAGAAAACAAAACCAGAAGCTTTCTAAACTGGACCTTTGGTACAGGATTACAGTTAATATATATTTTACGCCATGAAACGTACTTCTTGGGGCAAAATTTGCCTTTTAACTACTGACAAACATGGATTGCACCATTGCTTCATCTACCCAAGCTCCTTTCTCAGTGTGCCATGTGGGAGGATTGGTTTTAATATGCAGCAAGGTGTGCCAAAGGAATAAGTGAGGAGCTTTCAGAAAAGGTCTTATAACAAGTGACATGTAACGTTTAGACAAAAATGCTGTCTGACAGTCATTCATTGTCCGTTTAAGGGTACCGCAGTGAGTCACTGAGCGCTTGACAACTGACCAAAATGCTCCAGTTCAAGCATCTAACTAGAAACACTAAATACAAAATCCTTTCTAAAATGACACCTTTTTTACTTATTTTTATTATCTAAACATTATCTTGGTCAGACTTTGTTAAGTAACGTTACCTTGGAAAGACTTCATGCTACAAAATTTTTTCCCCTTTACCTGTTTTATGGCTGTCACAGTTATGACAAAGAATAATGGCAATCCACTGGTAATAGGACTGGTAGGGGTATCTATCATGAGCTAAAACAGAAAAAAAATATGAAAATTAGCCCCAACTTTATTTTTACAATTGTACTCTCAAAAAAATCCCAATGAAGCAAGATGACAACTATTTTCGAAACTCCTCATTATAACATGTATTTTTACTGCACTTTCTGCAGTATTTCTGGAGCAAAACTCAGTTCCTGACACGTAAATAATACATGTCAATAATGATGCAAGCAAAGATTCTAGGGCATAGAACAGACTTAATCACATTTGTAATGCATGTGCCAATTTTAAAAGTCCTTAGTAAAAGGAAGATATGTTTTCATCCTACAAAGATGAATTCAAAAGTATATTACAAAGGAAGGAAATCTACATTTCGTGAAGCTGTTTCAATACTCTATGCAATCTAATGCTTAACAGTAATGTAGAGTATAACAACATCCACTTCAGAAGTGAAAATAAAGTTAAAAATAGTAATTTCCAACAGTTTAGATCTTAGAGAA